AAGCTTTGTCTAGCTGGGTTTTGAAAACCTCCAAGGATGGAGCTTCCACCACCACTCTGGGTAACCTGTTCCAGTGTTTTACTATTCTCTTAGTGAGAAAGCAACAGTCTCAAGTTGCAGCAAGGGAAGTTTAGGTTAGATATTAGGAAATTCTTCATAATATCTAACCTAAACTTCCCTTGCTGCAACTTGAGACTGTTGCTCCTTGTTCTGTCATCTCCCACTGCTGAGAACAGTTTAGCTCCATCCTCTTTTGAACCCCGTCTTCAGGTAGTTGAAGGCTGCTATTAAATACCCTCTCAGACTCCTCTTCTCTAGACTAAATAAGCCCAGTTCCCTCAGTCTTTCCTCATATGTCATGTTCCCCCAAACCCCTCACCATTTTTGTTGTCCTCCACTGGACTCTCTCCAATTGTCCACATCCTTTCTGTAGTGGGGGGCCCAAAAATGAACACAGTACTCCAGATGAGGCCTCACCAATGCAGAATAGAGGGGAATAATCACTTCCCTTGACCTGCTGGCAACACTCCTATCAACGTAGCCTAGTATACTGTTAGACTTCTTGGTGACAAGGGCACGCAGCTGGCTTATATTCAGGCTATTGTCCATTGTAACCTCCAGCTCCTTTTCTGCAGAGCTGCTGCCCAGCCAGTCAGCCCCCCGACTGTACTGGTGCATAGGATTGTTCCATCCTAAATACAGGACTTTGCGCTTGTCCTTGTTGAACTTGATAGGATTTCTTTTGGCCTAATCCTCCAATTTGTCTAGGTCACTCTGAATCCTAGCCCTGAATCTACTACTCTCCCCAGTTTGGTGTAATCTGCAAACTTGCTGAGAGTGCAGTCCATCCCATTTTCTAGGTCGTTGATGAAGATATTAAACAAAACTGGCCCCAAGACCAACCCCCTGGGGCACTCCACTTGATACCAGCTGCCAACTAGATATCAAGCTATTGATTACCACCCTCTGAGCCCAAAGCTCCAGTTCCCTGTTAAGCCAAGCTGGTCTTTTGCTATACTTGTGAGTCTTCCTGCACATTGGGATGGACTGCTCCTGTACTCTTCGTAAGGCTTCTCTGAAGTACAGCCAGCTCTCCTGGACTCCTCTCCCCCTCAGTCTGGCTTCCCAGGGGATTCTGCCCATGAGTTCCCTGAGCAAGTTGAAGTCTTCTTTTCTGAAGTCCAGGGTCCTTTCTTCCTTTCCTCAGGATCCTGAACTCAATCATCTCATGGTCACTGCTGCCCAAGTCGCCATCCACTACTACATTTATCACCAATTCTTCCCTGTTTGTGAGCAGAAGTCACCATCTGGTGACTTCCGACATCATAAATGTATTTTTGTAGCACCATTAAGCTCCATGTTAGTAAAGTAATGAAGGGACTGTTGGGTGGAGCATGAGATCGTGGGATTATTGTTGTTTTGTGAGGAAATATCTTTTCTACCCAGCAGAAAGATGAAATCATTAGAGAAACCAGATCTTGATGCGTGGGTGGGGTGGGAGAGAGCCTGGACTCAGCTGTAGTATTTACATCTTGATGGGAATGAGTGAGTGAGCTGACCTACTTAAACATGCTGTAGGGTTTAGAAATATTTGTTAATACTCTTTCAAAATCACACCATGAATGTATTTGTTTAGTATGGCTATGGTGATAACTGAAAGGTGTGCTGGCAACCTCAAGAATTTTCATACAGTATTTTCTGCATTCAAACATTCATTGTACAACCAGGAGATTTGTTTGAAACCTGTGCTGTATGGTTTGGACTCCATTTAAGGCTCCTTTTCCACTTGTTTGTGTGGATTTGTCAAATATTTGTCAGCATTTGTCAAACACAGCCCACATGGTGCTTTTATTATCTCTCTCTATATTTTTCAATCAGTAGATAAGGCCCACAGGCTGCCTATATGCTCAGGGTACTGCAGCAGTGGGGCACCCTTGCTACTACAAATAATCCACCTGCAGCAAATAGTTCTCTAAGAAGCACAGCAAAAATCATCGTGAAAAATTTACTAAGGCTCCGCTCTTAAAACTGGACCTATGTGTGCTGACTCATTCACTTCACTACTTTTGCTGATTTTCTACCTGTGATAGGCCCACATGGGTTCAGTTGCAGGATCACAGGTGAGCGTACTTCTTTTGGCCTAATATAGAATAGTAATTTATGGAACAAAGTTGTAGGAAGTTGTCAACAGTACTAAATCTAAACTGAACTCCATTTATAATGTCTGTGATCTGTTTACCACTTTTAATTTTGCTTAAAGAAAGCATGCTTTCTGATAGGTATAATTGCTATTGGATTTTCTTAATCTAAAAACATGGTTATTGCTGTTCTTTGGCCAAGTAGTATCCAAGACTGTATCACTATGGTCCTTGATACTACTTTTTCAGCAATATTATACATGTTAGCTCCTGGCTTATAGCCAATGATGCTTGCATATTCATTTTCATTTCCCCTATAGCACTAATATTAAGTCAGTAAATAATAAAAAGCTTTATATAACCCTTCTAAGAGCTCACATGAAATATACTCTCTGCTCTTGTCATTTCAGCAGGCAGTGCAGTTCCAAAAACAGGTGGGATTTGTATCAGAAGTTCCTCCACACCCTGGGAGAAATATGCTCACCTTCTGATTCACTGATACATGATGCAATGACTGATGTAGATGGATTCATGACCTGCAGTTGAATGGAGCTATTTCTCTAATAGACTCTGCTTTTAGTACAGGGTCTTTTTAGGTAAGGAATTGATTCTCTCCTTCCTGATTATCCAATAGCTAGAAAAAGAAATCCACATAAGGTCTGCTTAGGTCTATTCCCCTTCTCTGGTTGTGCTGAGATATGCAAGTGACTGAACTCTTCATTGACAAGACAAAGACAAGTCTTTCATGCATGAGCAATTGTTTCTCAAGTTTCAGATGAGCACTACTTCTCCAGCAGACAATTCTACTCTTGCCACAGCCACAATAGCTGGTTAGCGTTGTCACTTCTGCATGGCAGGTGGGAAGCTTACTCTTTTTCTGTTACCTGACTGCAATACTGAAGTCAATGCCATGATACTGCTGGTGATGCATTCTGTGATGTTCAAACACACATATCTCTGGGCAGCCTCGCTTGCCATCCAAACATGAGAGAGCAACAACAGCCCAATAACATATCCAGTTGTGTGAAGTGGGAATGAATCAGAGGTTCCTATGGTGGAGGTGGTCCCTGCTGTTCTTGAACAGTTTGGTCTTAATTAAGAGTTTTGTATCCATGCAGAGCTATGAGCATCTAGCTATGCCATTAATAGAAGATAATTCCTTGTGCATCTTTCACTTCAGCAAATTGAAGAGTGGGTCATGGCATTGAATGTTAACCACACAAGAGGTTAAGGCAGCTACAAACCAGTGTTCAGTTGTATCCACAGCACAATAGCTCAGGTATGTCTTTTATTAATGCTGACACCTAACTCTTCTCCTTATGAATATGTAGCTTATATACCACTGTACATTTTAATGCTAGAATAATACGCTGTGAGAAGGTATGGATTAGTTGTACTGTGCAGAAACAAATCTTATGGCAGAAAAATTAAGGTATCTAGAGGCACTGAAGCAGGCAGATCTTTACCTTCCTAAGCTCACCACAAGGCAAGGCAGCCCAAAATTCTGTTGCAGAAAACTCACTCTACATTGTGAAATGTGATGAGTACTGAGAAAGACTACAGGGAGTGCAAGGCACGAGAGTCTGAAACAGAAAATGGAAATAGTGATGCAACTACTTTTAAGTTTGATCGTCTAAAAGCATTGTTCTCAGTTTGTTCAAACATTGCCACCTTCTTCAGCTTAGTATTTAACTTCCACTAAACATAGTTCGTTTTAGTTCTGAGTCATTCGTTTTCTTCCCCAACAGTCCTGGGTCCTCATTTCTGTCCTGTCCCACATTAGGACAGGGAAAGCTAAAGCTGGTTGAATTTTTGATTGGAAAAAAAAGTACATCTTATATTTCCCTCCTTCAGAAAAATCATCCCCATGTTTTGAGTAGCTCTAGCAAAATAACGCAAAGCCTCCATATGTTCAGGGGAAGGTTTTTGAATGAGACTGTAAACAGTAGTTTTGGTGTATGTGAATAAATGTGTTTATTAGCATACTTGGATTTATAGATTCATAATTGTAAGGCTGGAAGGGACCTTGGAAGATCATTGGGTCCAGCCCCCTGTGCCAAGCAGAAAAGACAACTGGGGGTCAGGTGACCTCTTGAAGATATGCTGGGGGGAGGCAAAAAACAAGGGAGAGCAGGAAACCTGGTACATGGAGGCTTTTTGGGAGGCCTGACAACTCTTCAGGAAGGAAACTTAAAAGGACAGGACCATAATCTGGGAAGTCAAAAAACACTGAGAAGAATGGGAGAGAAGCATGTGAGCACATGCAGAGGGTCAGCTCCTCTTGTTATTGGTGGAGGGGGGTCAAAGGGCGGGGGCCTTAAATTCTCTGCACTATCTCATGCCTGCAGTGGATAAGAAGAGTAATCCATCATCATTTCCTCCTTTGGCCTTTCTGCTGCCTACTGTCTGCATCTTGAGTAAAGCACCCTTCCTTGCCTAATCAAGGTTCTTTGGGTGAATCTGATACCTTTTATTAGACCAACTTAAACAGCTGGAAAAAAATGTTCTTAGCAAGCTTTCCGGTTTAAAAACCCTTCATCAGGCTGAGGAAGCTTCTGCAGTTGGTGTGTGCTCTTCCTGGCTGGAGTGAAGGAATGCGCTTCCTGGATGGAACTGACTTGCCTAATCAAGTCACTTGAGCATTTGACTAGACTGGAGGAGGAGGCTCTTTTTGTGCCCTGTTTGTACAGCGCCGAGCACAGCGTAAACTGGGGCTCTGCTGTGATGCCATCACGTCAATCCCGGTCCCCGGGAGCCTGAGATCGCAGAGGCGGCGGGGGCGGGCTGTCTCTCACCTACACTTCCCTCTCCTTCTCTAGTACGCTGCCTCATCTAGGCGGCTCTAGGACCTGGGGAAAGGCGGCAGGGCGGCAGCGGAGGGGGCGGGGCTTTCATGACGCTACTGGGATTGTGACGTCACAGAGGCAGCCCCGGGCGCTGGTGAATGTCTCGGAACGCGGTGGGCAGGGGGATGAGTGACTCGGGCGCGGAGGGGCCTGGTTCTGCCCGCTGCCCCCCCGAGGCCTGACTGCTGCTGCGGCCCGAGGTGAGAGGCGGGGGCTGAGAGGGCTTTCGTCCCATCCCTGCCGGGGACGTGCGGGCGGGCAGGCAGGGCCATGAAGAGGCTCAGGTGCATGGGCCAGGCAAGACCTGCCCTGTCCTCTGCGCCCCTGGGATGGGGGCAGGCTGCAGAGAGGCCCCGACCCTCAACCCTGCCTGTCGGAGGAGGGGGGTGAGGAATAGCATGGAAAGTACCACCCTGCTGTGCTAAGGGGTGTGGGGATCAAGATCAACCTCTCTTTTTCTCCAGTGACCCCTTTGCCCTGGCCTCCAGCTCCCCGCCCTGCGTTGGCATTGGTAATGTTCTTGCTGGTCCTTTTCCCCTGCTGGTCGTTTATCCCCATCTCCCCCACCCTCCTGATCCATGTGGCAGTGAAATGCCAATTTATTTCCCAGCTCTTTTTGACCTCCCTGCTCTGCTCCCAGCACCCACGCTTTGCCCAACCTGTGATTTTTTTTTTTTTCTTTTCTTTTTGTGGTGGTAATTTGAAAGAAGTCTGAGGGTTTGTGCGGTGGCTGTACATAACGGAGCTGGCTGTAGGCATCCTCGTCTGTAAGCCAGAAGGCCAAACCACGAGAACTCCACTGTGGGCTGTGTGAGATGAGCTTGGTCTGGCAGCCAGGGGAGCAGTGTCCCCATCTTGCAGCCAGCTCTGTATAATCTGCATTCCTCTTGGTTTTCGTGGGAAAGAAGCCTAGGGCTGAGCGAGTCTGAACTGCTTTCTCCCTCCTGGTCTTGGTTGTTGGAGTTGGGACTGAAGCCCATTGAAGAACGTGGGAAAGCTTGTGCTGTGCCGTACCTGTTTTGTGGGTATTCAGGACATTGGTTGTCAGAGCTTTCAAATCAGTGCTTTTCATAAGGATTGCAGTCCTACAAAATGAAGTGACCCAGCATAAAATAACTCCTCTTCATTGGTGACCAGATGAGTCTGGGCTCAGTGATAGAACTTGGTGTACTGTATTTGACCCTGCTCGCTGCTTTTTTCCTACTGCAGGACTCACTCCTGGTACTGTAGCTGGAGTTCTGACCTGATCGGGCACTTATGTAGGGCTTGGGGCTTGTATTTCTGCTGACAGGTTATTTACATTTCCCTCCTGCTTCCTTTCTTTAGGTTACAGTGTAAGGGATGACATAAGCATGGCAGGAGATCGCCCCAGGTGTATGACTAAAATCAACCAAGTCTGAGGAAGAAGTGAAAAGAGACCCTTTGTTTGCATCTGTCCTGGTGCTACATTCTTTTCTTCCAGCTGTCATGGAGACAAATGGCTTGGAGTGGCTGGTGGTTCCCATGCAGCAGCTGGTTTCCTGGGGTGCAGCTGGTGCCATGGTTTTTGGAGGTGTGGTGCCATACATCCCCCAGTACAGAGACATCAAAAGGACACAGAATGCAGAGGGCTTCTCCACTTACGTGTGTCTAGTATTATTGGTTGCAAATATTTTAAGGATACTTTTTTGGTAAGTAGGTAACTCTTTTCTTCCCCCTTTTCAAGCCAGTTTTATATACTGATTACAAAGCTTTGGGTGCAAAATCTCCAAGGATGCAACTATAAAGAGGTAAGGTTAATTACAGTCCCAGTGTAAGTAGATGTATTTGCACTAACCTTAGAGGAATTTACTGCACAAGCTTGATCTGTTTGCATCTTCCTAGTGAGATTATCAGCGTTAATAAGTTACACTTCAAAGCCTCATCCTCTTAGGTTGAAAGAGGGCACTAGTGTAGCTCAGAATTGGATTAATCCATAATACATCTTTCCCTTTTCATTCCCTTCTCTTCCCATTCATGTTACATTGCAAAATATAATGTTGTTCTATATGTGTCATCTTCAGGGATCCTGGCTTTCTCTGATTAACACCCCCCCCCCCCAATTTTCAGATTAAAAAAAGTAACCCAAAATCCACATCCTTCCATCATTAAAAATTATATTAAATTTTAATCATGGGAAAATGTGGATTTTGGGTTACTTTTTTAAATCCAAAAATGGGGAATTATTTTGTCAGAAAACCAGGATCCTTAGTCATCTCCATTGCAGTTAGTGTGGTTTCACACCAGTAGTTCCTGCAGGCATGTGAAGTCCCATGGATGGGCTTCATAGGGACAAGAGCACCTCACAGTGCTGAAAAATTTAAGAACCACTCTTTTAAAAAGCAACCTAAAATAAAGAAGATCCTGTATAAAAACAGATGTGTTTTAGAAAACACTCATGTAGAAAGTACTCTTGACATTCAAAATCTAGATTTTGAAACAGATTTTCTGTTTTGTGTTTATGGAGTAAAATTAAATATTTCCACAGCTTCTTTCCCTGCTTGTAAAAATACATTTTAGAAAATTATGTTCCTCTGCATTTTTTTTTTTTTTTGTAACTTGAATATTCCTGCACTGGTGAGTGAGCACACCTGGGAAACTAAATGTGTAATTGATTGGAAAGTGAATGCAAATAGAAAAAACTAATCTGAGAGTAATTTGGCTAATGGAGCATTGCACATAATCTGCAGAGAGCTGATAGGAGGAGCCACTCCTGACCTATTTGTTTCCAACTGCTTCTAAAGTTCCTTCAGGCTTTTAATTGGAAAAAGCATCCTGGGTTCTTATAAAAGCATCTAAAAAATCTGATGCTGAGGAGTAGAGGAAATGGGGGTTGTCCTCTGAGACCAGAGCTAGAGTGAGATGTAGGGAGCCGTCAGTAGTGGGATCGGAACTACTTGTGGGGCTGGAGCTGTATTTACCGGGGAGCAGGAGGCAGGAGATAAGTACAAGAGAAGACAAGAACCAATGGCAGAGAAGCATAAGCAGGAAGCAGAGAGAGAAAGCAACTAATGGACTAATGTGCGGGGGGGGGAAGGAACCGAACTGATGAGTGAGGGAGAAAAAAAATGAGAAGTGGAAAGGTCAAAGTAAACATTATATTTTTAAAACTGTGCAAACACTTGTGACACTAGAGGCAGTTAGAATACATCAGTACTTCGCATTTAAGTGTATGTAAGTACTGTCAGTGGCATGGAGGAACTGTACAGTTGCTGGGCATTTGTGAATTGTCATTTTAGGATGAGGCTCACTATGAAATTAAAAAATCCTTAACTTTAGTCTATCGTAAGCACTCAGTCTGAGACAGATGTAAAAAGTAAATAGTAGAGGTGCACCGATACATTGGTCTGATATTGGATCAGCACCAGTATAAAGAAAATTTTCTGTATTGGAAATCGGCCCAATGTGGCCAATAATTTATCTGATAAATGCATGTACGCAGCCGCAGCTGCAGCACAGCACGTATTCAGCGAGGAGCAAAGCCGGCAGCGTGGAGTGCTGCAGGCAGCTGGTCAGTTTGGTGTGGTGGGAGGGGGAAGGGACATGGGGGCGCAGATCAAGGCCCCTTCAGTGTGGGAAGGTGTGGAGTTGGGGTTTGGGGCTGGGCAGAGGTTGCCCAGCTGGAGCGCGCACGGGATGCGGGAAGGAGCAGTTCCCACCACTGCGTGGCTCGTCTGGTGCTCGTCTGGCAGCTCCCACCGCTGCTCCTGTCACTTATCCGGGGGTGGGGCTGAGGCTGGGCTTTTCCTGTCTGGGCAGATCTGGGGGCACACTCCAGACGAGTGACGGGAGCAGCGGCAGGGGCCGCCAGACAAACACTCAATGAAGCCGCCAGACAAGCACTCAATGAGCTGCGCACAGTGGTAGGAGCTGTGCCCCTGTGACGAGCTGCACCTCTGTCCCATGCTCACCCTGGCCTCGGCCCCAGCCCCAGCCTGCAGCTGCAGCCTGTCCTCCACCATGCAGATCGGGGGGGGGGTCACACGCCCTGCCACCAGGACAAACTGCTTGTTACTCTGTCCCATGCCCCTCCCTGCCCCAGCTGGTCAGCCCCAGCGCCATTCCCATTCCCTCCCTCACCTCAGGGGCCTTGATCTGCTCCTCCACCCCTTTCCCTCCCTTTCTACCACACCAGACATACCAGCTAGATGCAGCTTTTCAAGCTGAAGAGCTGCGTATTGGAAATTGGATCGGTATTGGCCAATCTGCCTTCTTCAAAATTGCCTATTGGTATCGGCCCCAAAAATCTGTCGGTTAACCCCTAGTAAATTGTGTAAATAATGAAAAATCAAATTTCAGGTAAGAAAACTTCCATGTCTAATGTGTAAATTTAGAGAGGAAATGGGTCTTTATTATAATACGTATTTTAACCTGGTTGTGATGGCTTATGTGGCTTCTCTCAGTATTTATACATTATTGATGGATCTGTTTAAAGCAGTGGTTCTCCATCTTTTCTTGTACCAGGACCCTTTTGTAAACATCAGTGGCCAGTCCTGACCCAGTGCCCCTCACTCCTGACCCGCTGCCCCCCGCCCCCAGCCCCACAGTGTGTGGGCAGGGGGGGTGGTTGTGTTGGGAAGATGTGTGTGTGGGGCAGGGGGGGCTCCAAGCAGCCCCAAGCAACCCCTTGCAAGTTTCCCATGTTTTTCTTCTTTAAAGGAGAATCCATTTTGAAAGTTTGTCCACAACCCTTTCATATATTTTTGTGACCCATTGGTTGAGAAACACTGCATTAAAGGACATTAGCTTTGTGTTTGTTCTGCCCTCTGATCCCTTGAAAGACCCCTTGCGTTGCTTTGAATGGATGGCCTCAGCTGGGACCAGGACACACAGACATGATTCAGAGTGTTGTCAGAGCTATAAACTGGATGTATTCTATAACATGCTTAAAGTGTATGATGCAGCCACTCTCATTAAAATGAAGTTCAGTGAAGTTCTAGGCAGACAAGGTTCCTTGGGTGAAGTTCTATACACTCTTAGTTTGCCCAGCCTGAAGTTTCTGATTCTTCCACCCTTGCTCATAGTGAATAGTCCTGTACTATGCAAGTAGTTCCACTGATACAGAGATGTTTGGCATCACTGTAAAACAATTGTTATGATTTTAAAACAGCATTGTGTTTCCTTAGGTTATTTATTTCCTCAAGATTTAAGGTATCTATTCCACTGTAAGACAGTTAAGTGCTGAGAGGTTTTTTGGGTTTTTTGGTGGGGTAACAGTCTTCAAATGTGTGTGAGGGAAGTATGCAAATGCAAGATTCATTTTTTAAAAGATACATTCTCTTAATCATATCAACGTGCATATAATGTGTTAACTTGTCATGGAGCAGGTTGGTGACTTATTATATTTGCTATACAATATTTAACTGATATTTAGTTTTGTGATAATTCTTTCATCCATGGGACATGTATATCTGACTGCTGGTGTTGCTTTGTGACCAGTCTAGACAAGATCAACACTCAAAGAACATGACTGTCTGGACACTAAAACCAGGATTATTTATTATTTTGTTGTCATTGCATTGTAGTAGTTAAATGACTACTACTTGTTTTTTCTTTTTTAAGCCTCTGATTGGATCATATGGTCTATGCCTATGCCAAGACAGGTCCTTCCTACAATACATTTTCTGATCATTTAATGTCTGTTCTGGCTTTAGAAGTATTGTGTTGGTAGACTTTTATCCCTTTTGAGAACCTATTTGACATCCTAATGCATGCTGCTGTTACAAAGTGTCTGCTGCTTGTCTTTGAGTTACTCCGTTTGTAGGTAGACCAAAATGCTGTGTGTAACTGCTAAAATATCAGGTGTGATATGATAGAAATGGCATTCAGGGCCTTGCCTCCAATCTGGCATTTAGGTTGTTCATTGCCTTGCAGGACCAAGCATATAGAAGAAGGACCTGAATGACTGGTGGGATTGCAAGGAGGGAAGAATTTTCTAGCGTCTGTGTGCATGTGTGCACATGCACAGGCAATGGGGGGGCACATGCCCCCCCTGGGATTGGCTCCTGACTTGGCACCGCTTAGAACGGGGCAGTTTTTTTGCTGAGCAGGTGGGGGGTGGAGGGGAGAGGAACACACTAAGCCATGGCACAAAAGTATAGGAGTGGATATGGGGCTTTTGGCCCGCCCACAAATTGTGCCCTCCCTACACTCAGGAGCCACCAGTCGTGCGCTTGTGTGTGTGTGCGCTCACGTGTGACTTTTCCTAAGCTTGATGTACATGTCTTAGGGATCAAAATTGCTCAGAATTTGTTTCAAGTTAGTCAGAATAAATAGAAAGCTGAAGGAATGGAAATTGGAAGGACGTCCCTAAGGTAGATAGTAGGCATTTTTAGTTACTTCCTATTGAGTAAGGTCAGTCAAAAATAGTATTGCTTCTTGCTGTTCCCAGCAGGGTGGAATTTTTTTGAGTTGTGCAATCTTTTGTTTTCTCCATGAGAAAAGTACTAACTGCTATATCAAATTACCCATGTTTGTTTGTTTTAAATTGCAGGTTGAAATGCTGCTGCCTTTGTAGTACTAATAAAAAAATACAGAAACCAGATTTACCTTTTAAATTGGCAGTCTTATGGACAGAGCTTACTGACTGGGATTTGCGAAACCTGGTTTCTATTCTGGCTGTGCCACTAGCCTGCCAGCTAACCTTCATGCA